TTCACAGGCCCTCCTCTGAGCATCCAGAGAGCAACTCTGGGGCATTCTGACCTCAGCCCAGGGATGATGTGATGTGTCTTTGTGCCAGTCCTCATCCTCGGGCTCCAGCAGGCAAACATTGCCTTATGAGGCAGCCTGTGTCTGTCTACCAAGAGTGGTTCAGTGAGCCTGGCATAGTGTGTGTGTGTGTGTGTGTGTGTGTGTGTGTGTGCTGCCTCGTTCTGCACTTCCTGGTCCATGCAGTCCCCAGGCTTCACATTCTCAAGTCTCCCTGATTCAAATTTACTGATTTTGCCAGGTCACACAAGTTCTCCAAACTCCAAATGCAAGTATGGTGTCTCAAGCCATGGGGACTTACTCTGTGTGTATACAGCAGAAGTACAATGTGAGGATGTCTGGATTTTCACCCTGAAAGAATGTCTATCAAATGCCGCATACTATTATTCTATCAGCACAGTCTACTGATCAAATCAAGACAGTTGGATGTACCCTGTATAGCTCATAAAAAAGATCCCTGGGTCTTACAAAGAATGAGGGAAAGTATCTTGTGTGCTTAGCAACATCTTGTTTCTGAGTCAAGCACAACATGATGCTCCTACATAGAGGGAAAAAACCATCTTGGTTTAGGTTCCTCCAAAAGCAACCAAGATGACTGGTCCGGGTGCAGGTATTTTATCAGAGAGGTGCAGAAGTGTCTGCAAAGAACTAGGGAAACAAGCCTGGGAAGGGACAGCTGCCAGTGCATGGTGTTTTGTATACCCTCTACCATCACTGGCTCAGTGCTGGGAGGCAATGCCAAGGAATGGGGAAACGCCGATCTCAGGATGATCCCACCCAAGGAGTTTGGGAGAAAGGTATTGATACATCATCTTCAGTTATTGTTTTCAACCTGCTTCTGAAAACCGTTGATTTCCTATCACTTTGAGTCTACTTCACATCAAGAGGACTTTTAGGGGTATTGGAGAAAGCCTTCAAGCATGGAGAAGTAAAGAGGGTTACTTGGAGGGAATTGAAACTACCTCAAGGAGGAGATGAACATGCAAGGTGTTTCCCCATCTCTTCTCCAAATGTGATGGGTAATCCCAGTTGCCAACTTGAGGAGCTCTAGAATCATCTGCGAGTTGACTTTTGGCATACATATTGGGGATCATCATGGCTACAGCAGTTGGAATGGGAAGACCTATCCACTATAGGTGGAACAATTCCCTGGATTGGAATTCTGGACTGTATAAAAAGGACAAAATGGGCTGAACACAGAACTATCACTGTTTCTTAACTGTGGATATAATATGACCAACGACTTCAAGTCTCTGCTACTGTGACTTCCGATAGATTACAACCTGAAATTAGGAGCCAGAACAAACCCTTCCCCCGTAAAGTTATTTTGCTGGGGCGTTTTGTCACAGCAACAGAAAAGATAACTAATACACCGATGGAAGAAATTCACTGGATTTATTTATCCAAAGGAGAGTTGTCTCAATATCCTTGTATCGTGTAAGTAATAGCAATTATTTATTCATATTAAAGATTTACTAATAGATACAACATTTAAAGATGTTGGCACAATTTAATCAACTTGCTGGATATTATTAGTAAAACAAAAGAAATTTAAAAATGACAACTAAGCTATGTCTCGAATATTCTTTGTGAAATTTTGTCTTATATAATTGCAAATGCATGTTCACAGAAGGGTGTGAAGAGGTATATTAAATGGCTCATTTTGCAGCAAATATTTTAAAATTTTTTTAAGAAGGAACTAAACAAAGTGCCTACCAGTGGGGGACTGGTTAAACTAAGGCTTTGGAATCCTGCTTCAGTTATTGTAAAGAATCTTATATTATGAAGAATTGGAAGGGCCCTTCTATAATGTGATTCCCATTTACACAAAATTTGAGTCTATATGATATAAAAAGGTACTGTTATAAATAACAGCATTTAAAAATGTATACCCATGATCATGAAGGAAATATAGCAAAGTGTAATAAAGGCTTCTTTATCATTAGGGTCTAGAAAACAGAGGGAGATATCCCCGTTATAACCAATGTGTTGCTTAAATCATTCACTGTGAACATGTAGCCTTAGATTATTTGTATAATTTAAAGTATAAATAACAGCTGACATCTTTTCACTAATCAAGAAAGATGTTTAAGAAAGCCAACAAAGCTGAAAGAACAAAAATTTCATAGCTATCTGAGCTGTTGATTTGTGAGAAACTGGCAGCTACCTTCACATCTCCTGAGGATATCATTAGAGCACCCAGTAATGTTGATACCTATTTCTCAAGAAAATGTTGAAATAGTCTCAGGATGCCTGTTTGAAAGACAATGTGTTATATATGATTTAGAAAAATGGCCACAAATAAAGGGCAAAAGTATTGTGCAACCATAAAGGACTTGATACAGGGTGGACTATGGGTCCAGTGTGTGTAAGGTCACTTGTACCAACTAGGCATTGACGAGCCAGGCCAGGTAAAGGAGGGGTCAGGGAGTGACCTAAGCTGCAGATTCAACTGTTGGTTAATGCTTAGCTAGCCTGGGAGAGGAGAAAGAGGAGGCAGGCTTATAGGCATCTGATTTCCATGACACAAATATTCACTTTGAGGCTGCCATGAGGCCATTGTGATGTGGGACCGAGAATCGATTCTCAGAGGCAGTGCCATCCTGTCATGTTTCCTCCGTGGAGTCGGTCGAGGCGTACTTACCCAGGAACAAGCAGGCAGAGCCCTAGGAGGTGGTTATGTATGGTTATCTTTGAACACAGAATTTGTTCAACTGTGCCACGTGAATTTCGGTCACAGTTGTGTTTTCAAGCCCCATTCTGACCATCCGATCCCTGATGCTTGAGTACACACTGCCTGTAAGAACTCAGAGATGTCTATCTGAAGCACTTCCTCCGAGGATACTTCAAAAAAGGAGCCAAGTAGATGCTAATCAGAATTAGAGATAACACCGTGTTTGGCTCTAGAAATATAAACAGACAGACTGTGTTTTTGCTGCAGCCTGACACAAGTTTTGGTGGGGAGACTTGCTGCCTCATTCCTCATACAACATGTAAAAGAAAAAGAGGGAGGGGCATGGCCTCCCTGCCAGCCAGAGAGAGGCTACACGTCTGAAGCTTGTATTGCATGGAAATTCAAACTCTAGCAGACCTAAAATGCCCTGTCCCAACATGCTCCAGAAGTTGGGATATTCTCTAATGAGTAAACAGAGGGCAACTGCTGTTCTTTTGAATGCATTTGAATATCTTTTCCTTTCTTGTTTTTTGTTTTGTTTTGTTTTGTTTTGTTTTGTTTTGTTTTGTTTTGTTTTGTCTTTTAATAATGAGACTATTTTTCTCAGGTCCCCTGGTTTCTCTGCTCCATGCTTGCTGCATGTCCATAAGCATTTTTATAGTAAAGTTCTATGCTTGGACATACAAAAATGAGGATGCTTATAAAAAGCAACCAACCCTAATATGGTTACCACCCTTTGTTTGTAAAAGAGGATGCTGGGCTTCCAGCGGTGAGGGATCCAGTTAAGTGCAAAAGTAGGTGAATTTTTTTGTTGCGAATTTTTTATGCAGTTAAAATATAACTGATTGTAAGTGAGGAGAGAACGCAGGAAGGGGAAGGAGTGAGATCCCAGCACCTGGGGCATTCTCGGAGTCTGATAAATGCCAGATTTACTGCCAAAGTGAGATTGATAAATACTAACTAAATCACAGCCATGCTTGGGGGCAACTCGTTTATTTTTCCACCCCCCAAAAGGAACACAAAACATGGAACAAATGTCAGGCATGACCAAACCTGAAGAATCTTACTCTTCCATCCTGCTGCTAGCTGAATGCCTTGTGATTTAGGCAGACTGTGGGGGAAGCCTGGGGGCTGGAGGGCTGGGAAGGGAATGGACCAGGGCTTAATCTGGCCAGGGTTCTGGGCAGAAGGCACTACCAGGGCCAGTTTAGCCCAGGCTTTCATGAATAAACACTCTAATTGGAGACACCATGGCTAATGCACCTGACTTCTTTCACAGGAAGGCTGGATCATGATTTGCTAATTGGATATTCCTGGGGTGGTGGAGGTGCCCTTGCTGGCCCTGAAGGATTACTAGTTAATGAAGTTTTAGAAGTCCCCAGTGCAGACTGATAGAGCTACGTTAAAAGGGAAGCAGAGCACATTGTCCATCCTGGAGTGTCATGGACAAGGAAGTGTCCGGCATGGCGTATTGTGGCACCAATCACCATGACCAGCACTGACTTCTTGAGCTGGATCCCTCCCCTGTGATGGCCCAGAACTGTCCATCCCTTCCCTGCTGGAGTGCTTGGCCCAGGAGACGAAGAAGCATCCTCTCTCCAGACCTTGATACTGGCATTTGGGACTCCTCCTTAGAACATGGGTGAAATGGCATGGGGAAGTCTTCATGGAGGACAGAAAAGGATGCTCTAAGATCTCTGGACTTGATTTGGAGACATAATACCACCATTTTTTCAAAGCACGTACAAATATGAGAGAAAGGATGCTTCTAATCTGTTCTTGTGCAGGAGGAGGATGGCAGTAACCAAGAACAGAGCCACTGAGGACGAGCAGAAGGCCGCTGATGTCTCAGTGGGTGCACTCTAACTAGAAAGTGTCTAGAATCAGGGCTACAGGGAAAGTCCTGGGCTTTTCCCTTGGGTGACTAAAGGAAGGTAGTTTGAGAAAGGGGCACAATAGAACAAAACTAAGTCAGAAGTCCGTCTTCAACCAAACCTCAGGTAAATTCCTTAGTGTCCTCTCCTTAAAATAAAAAATTAAAAAAATAATAAAAATAAAAAGATATCCTGTAAGGCAAACACTCACCTTTTCGGCCAGAGTGCATCATGTCCTAGTAAACATCCAAGTTCTCTTTCTGAGAGAAGGCAAAACAAAATGTCTTTCTGATGAATTGTATGCATACTCCAATACATCCTCCATCATCTGATGAGGTGTGTGCATTAGCAGTGACTCTGCTTAGAGAGCCCTGACCACCATCTTCTTTTTAAAGGGTATCCAGCCTTGCTAAATTATGGTTCCACTCATGCATGAGAAGGTCTTGAGGGAATTCCTCCTAATGACAGAGGAGAGTGGTTCTCACTCAAAGAAGCCACCTAAGGTAAGATAATTGCTCCTTCCATTTCCCAGCATTTACTGGCACACAGATAGCTGAGAGCTGACATAAGGATGCAAAATTTCATTTCGAGATGTTAACTATTTGCTGGGCTCTTTTTATGTGTTTCTGCCTGCATCCCGAGAACCTAGTACAAGTGCTATCGTTGCCTCCATTTACAGATGGGAAAACTGACTTGTTTAGTACCCATGGTCACATCTGACTGAGGCAGTCATGGAAATCATTGGCTTTCTCTATTGTACTCTTGCCTAAACTTTACCCTATTGTTTATATTATTTACTATGAAATATATATATATATTTCCTAAAGACAACCAAGAAGATAGGTGGTACTTGAATTTGAATGTATGTGGAATATCCCTTTACACTGTGTAAATATGTGTCACTGTGACTGGGTTAATAAAGAAGCTGACTGGTCAATAGCTGGACAGGATAAATTACGTGGGAGAACCACACTAAGGACACTGAGAAGAAGAAGGGCAGAGTCAGAGGAGTCACCAGTGAGACATAGAGAGGAAACAGGAGGTACAAGATGAAAGAAAGGTAACACCACATGGCAGAATGTAGATTAATAGAAATGGGTTAATTTAAGTTGTAAGAGCTAGTAATAAGCCTGAGCTATTGGCCGAGGCTTTATAATTAATATTAAGCCTCTGTGTAGGTTATTTGGGAGTTGGCAAGAGGGAAAGAAAAGTCTGCCTATAAATGTAGGAAAGGAATTTGTTTTGTAGCAATAACAAGAACAGATTTCTAACAAAGGATACAGTTGTAATACAAATGGAAACACTTTTTTTTAATTGGTGGACTTTGTGAATATTTTTTGATATAAAGAAATAGTTAGTTATTTCTTTGAAAACTGAAATAGCCAGATTATCATCCAAGAATCTTGCTGATGATCACAGAAACATGCTTAAGTTCTCAAACACTGATTTTCCTACCTGTAAAAAAACAATCTATTGGACAGGGAGTCTTAAATTCCCTCACGTCCCCATGTTGTTGTACCAAGAATCCCATATGTTTGCTCCCAGAATGGCATTTCTGCCAGTTCTAAATGAACTTGTTATAGAAGAAAAAAATCTAGATTTCTTTAAAGACTCAAGTATACAATGAGATATGCCCTGCCTCTGCCTCTGCCTCTGCCTCTCGATGTGTGTGCCTGTCTCTGTCTCCTTGGGTTATTTCTCCTGGCATCCTTGGTACGACTCATTTCTGGCTTACCTGTTGTCCATGAATTGATGCGTCTTGCAGTTTAACAACTGTTCCACAGTGTAACACACTGTAGCAACCAGTGTCTCCTACTTGATCACACAGCATCTAAAGTGTTGGGCTTGCATCCCAATAGAGGTGCGTTTATTTCACTGTTATGTTCATTAAGCAAAGTACACAAATACAAAACTAGAAGTTAAAAAGTAAAAATCTGCTCTTATGTCTTAATGAGCCATATGAATCCAACCTGCCTTTTCTGGGAGGCATATAGTATCTAGGTAGTGGTGGCCTTGGTTACTTTGGGTTTCTAGGTCAGGCATTTATTTCAGAATGAACATTTACTAAACAAAAGGGTCTGCAGCCCAAGGGCTTAGAGACAAGCAGTGAAAGATGGAAGGAAGACCTCAACTCTTTGAGGAGGACCAGACATGTATGGGAACCTCCCAATAGCTAATACCAGTTTGGGTAGTTATAATACCAATATTCTGCCAGTTTCTTTTCCTGGTCCTAAAATCTGGAGGAACTCTTTTGAACCTTATCAAAACCCAAATCCCTCAGGGAAGTGCTGCATTAAACCGGATTAGCTCTTTTCGCCAGAGTATAAATCTAACAGGTGTAGATAATGGCAGAGACCAGGGAAACCTGTCAGAAGATCAAAAGAAACAAAGAAACTACAAAAGAGCAAGGCTCTGAGACTGGGGTCCCCAGATCTGGTCCTGGTCTACATTTGACCTTCATCCCTGCTAGCTTTGATTAGAAACAGAAGCACTCATCCCCAAAGGAGCACTTTGCCTATGCAGCTCTGAGCAGTGTTGAGGTCCCTGGACCTAATAGCCTATTTAGGGGGCATCTAAGCCTGGATTTCCCAATTTCCTCCAGAATATCTCCCTAGACCTCCTTAACACCTGGAAGTCCTGCCTTGCTGTCATTTCTAAGGACCATCACTGACGACTGAGCCTTGCTAAAGGAGAGACACATGAATATACGCTAACCGACAGATAAAAATGGGTCTCATGGTGGAGCAATGAGGGTGTTGGGAGATAACTCGAGGAGTTGGGGACAGGGAGGAGAGATAAAAAAAAAAAGAGAGAGAGAGAGAAAGCCAGAGACCAGGGAGACAGAACCAACGAGGAACTTGTCCAGTTCAAAGTGAAGGGACACTTTGAATGAGAGAAAAGTGGGCAGAAAGTATACCCCTATTGGTCCAAACTTAAGCTGAGGTTCAATATGAGTGCTATGGGATTCAACAAACTCATTAGCCCAGACTCAGCCTTGGCACTATCAAAAGGCATTTGCTGTATGGCAAACCTTGATAATGCATAGAAAATATGATGAAACGCCTATGAGGTGGGGACTGTCGTGCTTATCCCAAACTTATAAACGGGGAAACAGAGTCACATGGGTGATAAAGCCATTGCCCAATGTCACAGATGGTAGGAGGCAGATCTTGGGGCAGGGGCTTGGGTAGTATGTCTTCAGAGCATGTCACCTGCTCACAAGGACACTGTGTACCTGCTCTGGAGGATCCTCACCGAAACACCCAAGAGAGAAGGGACAGGGCTTGCTAATCAGATGGAAAATGCTTTTAGCTCAAGTGCCTGCTTACTTCGGTTGCCTTGGATTTAGTGTTCATTTGGGAAACAGAATTTTGATCTCTTGGCCATCTTGTCCTTCCCTTCCGGGCACTAAGTATGTTTCCTTCCCAAGGATTCTGTGACACGTGGGTTAACCACCATAGCTTATGTTATGGACATGTTTTAAATGGAGTCTAAAAATCAGCTTGGCAGAAACAAGTAATATCAGAGATCTGTTCATTTAGAAGGCTAACAAGCAGACCCTCCAGAAATGCTGAGATTCATTATACATGGTAAATATTTGTTTAGGCAAATTTTCAATCGAAGATGGTTTGATTGATAGATAATTGTTTCCAATGTCAGCTAAATATGCTCAGCTGTCACTGCCAAATCATGAATTGATGTGTTATCTTTTAATGTTTTTTTTTCTTTCTCTCCCAAAAGAAAAAAGAAAAAAAAAGTGAACACTATTTTCTTCTATCAGTTCTTAAGCTAATTTATTTACTAAGGGAAAAATATTTGACACTTTTTTTAGTCAAGGGACTAAGGTTGTTAGAAGGTCCTGGAGTGGATCACGGATTGGATCTCCTAAGAACCCTCTCAGAACAGGAAGCTACTGAGGACCACCACCACCCGCTGAGCCCAGCCATCCTGCACCTACAGCCAGCTCTGGGGTCGTTTCCAGCACCTGGGCTTTTTCTCTTCTCCATAAACCTGGCCACTTGTCAAGTGAGATCGTCAAGAGGTGGGTTGCCCGTAGGTCTTCTCAATCGTGAGAAACTTCTAAATATGTACGTGCACGTGGTCACCAGGACAGAAGGCCAAAGAGATCAGGACTCGGGCACTAACGTCAGGAAAGCATCTTGAAGCTAAAATTTTAAAGTTAAGTTGACTTTTAATAAGAGAACAGGAAGCATAGGAGGACACATGCTTAGTGCTTCTCCATGAGTGACCGGCATGCAAAGGGAAGAGCAAACCCAGGGACCTGCTGCCTGGTTTCTTCCAGTTCTTTGGCCCACAGGCTCCTTTACAGATAATAAATACCATCTTATGGCCGATTAACACAGTGATCGCGACTTCACTTTACTCCTCATTCCAAGGAAAGTTAGTGGCCAGAATGAGCTGGGTGCAGGAAGTTAGGTTCTCCTAAAGGTAATTTGTTCAAACAGTTCTCTCGTTGTTTTTTGAAATAATAAGTTTTAAAAATCTATTGTTACAGAGTAATTGCTCATCAAATTTCTTTTTAAAAGTCAAAGCAATTTTAAAATTATAAAGAACTTCTCAGATGTGTCTAGGTAATTATGAGGCTGCATTTTACATAACTCTTAGACCTCAGCAGGCTACAAGGTCTCTTACAGTCTTTGCTCTGAAGGCAAAGATTTCATCAGTTATGTTTATTAGCAAACATCATGTGATGAAACGACATCATGTAGTTTGTCTGTCATTGCAAGCACATACATGTGGAAATTATCTACCAACTTTATGCAATCTGTACATCAGGAGGCCTCAAGACATGTTACAATCTTTATGTTAAAGCCCAAGATTCCACTGATTGAGCTCACAAACTACCATATGACACATTTTATAGAGAGAGTGTTCCCATGGCTGTACACACAGGCCTGTTGAAATGACCTATCAACTTCCTCTAGCGCCAGCTTTTAGGACACAGCTCACATTCTTTTCTCCGTTGAGGTTTCAAGGCTGCTGAAACTCCATGAAAGGTGGTTAGATACTCACAAGAGCAGACAAGCCCTGCTTTCAGTTACTCATCCCTTCTTGAAAAAGGGGAGTTGATTAAAGGCCACCAGGGAGCTAGACTCTCCAGGAAGACACTTGACAACGGTGGACAGCTTCCTCTGGAGCAAGACCATTCTAGATGATTCCACATGTCTTTCAATGTCATCCTGTTTCACAGAAGCTGTGTTAGGTGTGATGACGCACACCCATGGTCCTAGGCACTGCTAAGAAGGCTGAGGCAGGAAGATCACAAGTCCAGATCACCCTAGGAAACAAAACAAAGCCTTGTCTCCAAAATGAAGTTAAATATAAAATAAAGTTGTAAATATCTATGTGCCCACAAGAAACCTCAGTATCAGTAGGTTTCCCTCAAAGATTTAAATAAAGATCAATTTTAGTTTGGAGTGTTAGCATTCTGAGACTTCTGGAAACTTCCAAGAAGCTGGTGGTCATCTAATTGCTGCATCCCTAAGAGTCCAAGAAGAGGCCACACCTAACAGCAGAAAACGGTCTGGTTCCCTTTAAACATTACCTCTCCCATCCTTCCTCTCTCAACCCTCCTCCCCATACAGTTGCCGGCTGTGATCTGCTGCCTCTCAGCATGGAATAAAATACATTACTTATGCAGAGAATGTTTTAATGTAACAAAGCAAAGGAATAAAAATGCCTTACAACAGTTTTATTAAAAACAAATTCCCACAGTAAATACATATACACTCCGTTTCTGGGAGCCAAACAGCCAAGGACATGGCTGCTAAGTGCTCTGGGAAGTGCTTATAAATTACTTGAAATAAAAAACATTGTTGCCTGGACATCAGGGATGAAATGCTGCAGTTTGTAATAAATTAACAGAGAACTCTACTTCCCCTTCTCGAACAAAGCAGCCATTTGTCTGAATAACCCACATTCAGCTGTGAGTTATATTTTCACACTGCAACTGCATTCATTTGCAAATTATTCTGCAGTTTTAATGTTCGAGTTTGAAATACCTTGAGGACTGCAGAAGAAAGCCAAGTGGGAGACGGTCGGCCTGTACTTTCAAAACTGCCCTCAGTTCTGCTCCTCTTGTGGATTTTTTCCCCTTTCAAAGTTTTTTTTTTTCTATTAATATAAAGTTTCTTAAAAATACATTTTAAAAATAGAACATTACAATGTATTTGTGGATATTTATACCAGAGAGAAGTTTCTCTAGTACTCTGATTTTGGCCAGTACTCATTTTACATTTTTTAGACACTTCTTTCTATCACTACTTGAATTTAGTGACAGAATAATTTATAACTATCTTTGAGGTTTCCCTATTGTTTATAACTTTTGTCTGCAAGTCACATTTGGTTAGATTTTTTTTTCTCTCTCTCTCTTTCTCCTACTTTGACCAGGAGAAAGAGAGAAAAAAAAATCTCAAAAGAAAAGTCATTTCACTTCCCTTGAATTATTTTGATTATAAAACAAAAACTCTGCAAGAAAACTCTTTTCACAACCTGTTCAGTGAAAGAAAATGCACCGCTTTCCAGGTCCTGAAAGAAACTCGGATAGAAGCGGTTACAGATTCATTGGAGGTTTGAAGGTTATTTTCTTGGGGGGTGAGGGGGGCAGGCCCGGTTTCCTTGGGCCCTTACTGGCTTTTAGAACTCTGTTGCATTGTTTTAAATAAGGTCCTTCCTAGGCAACCCAGGGGATAAAAGTCATGTCTCCATTTCCAGGAGGCCATCTGAGGAGGAAAACTCTTCAGAAGCATGAAGCATGTTATTTTCCGAAAAGTGGCTCATAAAATATTTTTATAAAGTAGGAGTTGAAATCATTTAAAAATCACTCTCTTTTATAAATCTGTTTGGAGAAAGCTCTTTTGATCCCCTCTTTCTTCTGATCCTCATCTTTTATTTTGCTTAGAGGTAAACAACATTTGCTTCATTTAAACAACAGCGTTTGCCATTGTGGGTCTTAAATCCCTTCTCCAGTCACCCTATGGCGATTCGTCACGGGGAGGGGGGCTGTAAGGAGACTTTGCATCCAAGACTTTTATCACCCCCCCAGAAAATGTTTGTTGTTTTTTGCTTTGATTCCTTTTTTTAAAACTCCCTCCCACCCTCACCCCCACTCTGAGCTGCGGGGGAGATTGTTTTTAGGACATTTCAAAGCCTTTTGTGACAAGGGAAACCAAAGTCCTTCTTCAGAGAATAAGAAATGCTTGATTACATGCCCTGCAAAACGGGAGATATTTCCAATTCCCTTTTAATTAAGATGTCTAAATAGCCATTGCTTTGGAGACCAAGATTTCCAAACAGTTTAAAAAGAGGAAAGCTGAATTTCGATGGACAGTCTTCCTCATTGACCCTTGAGGAAGGGGCCTGTCACTTATCAGGCCCTGGGGGGGGGGGGGGACCATCCCAACTTCAGACGTGTCATATAGGAAGGGACACAGGAAAGAGCAGCTGCAGAGGTGGCCCCAGGACTCGGGGCTTTTATGACACCATCCACTGCCAACAGGAGAAAATGGCTTCTCTGGTGAGCTGGGTCATGCATACAAACCACTACACCTCTGGTTTGTTTTGTGTTCTTTTTCTTTCTTTCTTTTTTTTTTTAATGACTCAATAGTGACTGGTTTGATTCTCTGACCATCCAAACCTGATTAAGAGCATTTGCTTAGGCCCTAAGGATGTCCTAGCTGGCCACCCATCTGGTGTTAGGCTCCCGTCCATGAAAATCTCCCAGCTTAGCCCTGAATATTCTTTCTAAAGACGCTTAAGTAAAAGGGCTGACATTAGCATATGTTCCCCCCAAGTGTCCTGTTGAACTTTTTGCTGGGCATTACCCTACCACGGGCTTTCTGGATGCTATCCAATGAGAGATTGGCTTGGAACTGTAAAATTAGCCATCTGCCTATTAAAAATGTAACCAGCTGCATCGGATGAAACACAGTGACTATTGAAATGCACTCATCCGGGAGAGAACTCTCGTCCCCTGCTTGGACATTTTTCCAATCTACTGCTGGACCGAGACACTCCAGCGAAGAGCCTTCCGACCTTGTTTAGAGGAGAACAGCCCAACTCTGGAGAATGGAGAAGACTTGCCGGTTTGTTTTGTTGCTAAAATTCTGGCATTTCTCAGGGCTGACTTGATCTCTAAGTATAGAATTCTCTATTGCCCTACTACTTGCTTAAAGCACCTCCCTGCTTTAGAAAAATTAAAATATAAAAGTGGGCAGACTCCAAGCTTTCTTCTGTCTGCGCCGATACTCTGTTCTTGGCTTGGACACTACTGATGAACTTTAATTGCACACCTAAAATAGTCCCCTGAAGCGCACAACACCTTAAAATGGAGAGCTAGGGATGTAGTTATTCCAGGCCAAGAACTACATCTCAGTAGATATTAGACATTCTGTATTTACTACCAGGCCTGTTTATTAAAAATGAGAACTTTCAATTGCTTGTGCTATTTTTTTTCTAAAGCCTAATGGAGCATTAAAAAATAATTCATTAACTAATTAACAAAACTGTTTATTTACAGTATAGAAAATGTTTCTATCAGGCAAATAACACACCATAACACAGCGCTGTGTTGACAGTAAAACATCTGCAGCTTCATTTAGTGCATTTACTAAATGACGAGGGGGAAATCAAAGGATGTTTAAATAGCTACTTCTCGGCCTGCGAGTTTTGTTTCTCTGCGGAGGTCAGAGGCTCCGAGGAAAGATGCCCCTTGGGGAGCTTGAGCCACATTCAGAGGCTCCCAGCACAAACACCCCCAGACAGTGATGGAGGGCCAGTGCTGCCCGCACAGCGCATGCTGTGGACCCGGCCTCAGTGAACACAGAGGGGCCAGACAGGGCGAGCGGAAGCCCCGGGGAGCTCCTCGGGTTAAACGGCATGAAGCCGTCTTTTTGCAGGTTAGTCAGTTAAATGTTAACAGCTTCTTTATATTCAGTCTAAAATTTCCCATTCGGGTCTCCTCCCTCCCTCCCTTCCTCCCTCCCTCTCTCCCTTCTATCCTTCCTTCTCTCTCTCCTATCCCTTCTCTATGTCTGTTTCTCTGTCAATATGCGTCTCTTTCACTCTGCTGGTGGGCAGGATTATTTTTCATCAAACAAAAATGATTAGGCCCCAAATAAGTATATTTTATTCCACTTGCTTCCTGGTCACCCTCTGGGAAGACATAACCCCACCCTCACCTCCTTACCCCCTCCTGGATCCTTCCTCAGCTTGTGCCTCCAACTCCTCCAAGGGCCAAGAGTTTCTGTTTGTCTGTAGGTTTGTTTGTCTTCTTGCCACTCCCAAGACATTATGGGATGGCCTAACAAACAAGAACAGCAATGACAC